GTTACTCTTGACTACCATGGAAAATGCCCTGACACAACATGTCTTAGGTAGTACAAGATTCGGTTCTACCCAAGGATCTTCCTTGCTGAACTTAGTGCTTACTCATGACAACGACGACGTGGATGGTCTAGTTATTCATCCACCTCTAGCAAACAGTGATCATGGGGTGTTAGATTTTAACTTAAGGGCTGGCAATTTAGCCAGTTTTCAACCCAAATCCCGACCTAGTGTTTGGCATGCTGACATAGTCGCTATAAAGGAGCGTGCTTCAACTGCCGACTGGTCAGTCAATATTGTTTCATCCATTGAAGATGAATGGGATAGATTTAAGAGTACACTTGAGTGGGGTTACCACTGATTTCATTCCCTGGAGCGTGCCTAAAAGACCAACAAATCGGCCACCATGGATAAACAGACAAGCTATAACACTCCTAAGACGGAGAAAAAGGTTCTGGAATCTCTTTGTTTCTACTGGGCTTCAGCAGTTCCGGCTGAAATACTGTGAAACCAGAAACCAGTGTAAAACCTTGATTCACCAGTCAAGGATAGCTTACGAAACCCAGTTAGTTAAAAGTTCACCAGGCTGCCCAAAACGACTCTTCTCATATATCAAGAGAAGAACACGTAAGAGTGATGCTATCCCACCTCTTATGCTTGAAGACGACCAGACAAACATGGCTGGGGATAACTTCACTAAAGCTGAGGCTTTGTCCAAGCACTTTAGTCCAGTATTCTCTGATAATATTGATACCAGCTTTGTATCTTTTCCAGAAGGTAACTTGAAAATGGCACCCTTATACATTGGAAAGGATACTGTCCTAAAGTGGCTTCTAAGGCTCAATCCTGGTAAGTCCAGTGGCCCTGATGAACTCCACCCACATATATTAACAGCATTGGCTGAAAACCTAGCCGAGCCCTTGTCGGTAATCTTCAATATGTCTCTGGACCAGTCTAAATGTCCAAGAGACTGGAAAGATGCCATCATTAGTCCGGTCTTCAAAACCGGATCTAGAAACTTAGTTCAGAACTATCGTCCTGTTAGTTTGACCAGTATTGTTGTTAAACTACTAGAAAGAATAATTCGTGATGCTATCATTCAGTTCATTGAAGGGAACAAACTTTTCGCTGTGGAACAGCAGGGTTTTAGAGCAGGTCATTCTTGCTTGACCAACCTTCTTTTGGCCAGAGAAAGTTGGGCAAGCTCAGCTGATGCTAATATACCGGTGGATGCCATATTCATCGACCTTAGCAAGGCGTTTGACAGGGTTTCTCATTCAGGTCTTCTAGTAAAGTTAGGTAGTCTGGGAATCAATAAAGTGGTTGCCAACTGGATTCAAGACTTTCTAAAGGACAGAAGACAAAGAGTACGAGTTAACGGGGTTTTATCAACATGGGAATCGGTTAAGGGTGGCGTTCCTCAGGGTACAATTCTAGGCCCACTTCTCTTCCTGATTTATGTTAATGAGATTCCATCGGTAGTTAAGTCATCCTGCTTACTGTTTGCTGATGACATCAATATATGGAGGGCTTCACACGATGACAGTGACCAACTTGCTTTGCAGGAAGATTTAAACTTGTTAAGTGATTCGTGTAAGCACTGGGCCTTGGAGATTAACTTAAGCAAGAGTGTAGTTATGCATGTATCTCATAGTCACGTGCACAATTACTCAATGAATGGCATTACTCTCCCAGTGGTCACTGAGTACAAGGACTTGGGAGTGGTTGTGCAGCATGACTTGAAAACAGCAACAAACCGTAGAGCTGCAGCCACTAAGGGTTTTCGAATATTATGGGACATACGCAAGGCTTTTGCGAACTTTGACGCTGATATATTTCGTATATTATATCCGACTTATATCAGACCTCATTTGGAATATGGGATCCAGGCAGCGAGCCCGTGTTTCAAATACGAAATAGACTTATTAGAAAGGGTGCAAAGAGTGGGAACTAAGCTAATAAGGGGTTTCTCAACTCTCTCATATGAGGAGAGGTTAAGTCGACTGGGTTTACTCCCACTGACATACAGACGACTTAGGGGTGACCTAATACTAGCATACCGTATCCTAGGAAATGATTTTGGAGCTAATTTATCTAATTTATTTCTTCCTTCTAGCACCAACCAATTGCGAGAACATCACCTCAAGGTTCAAAAACCACGGTCGAATCGTCTGCGTTTGGAGACCCGTTTTTCGCATCGGATTGTGAACCATTGGAACTCCCTACCGGAACACGTCGTATCAGCGCCATCCGTCGATTCATTCAAGGCGAGATTGGACCTCCTGTGTGTAACAAATCGAAAGGATTAACACAGGCATAGAGCCTACTATCCTAAATAAATTGTAAACTGTAAACTGAGTTCTTCGCCTGTTAGACTTTCGGCTTTGTGGATGAGAAAAAACCCAAGATATTTGTTCATTCACAGATCTTTCGCGCACGCACTGCAAATTGCCAGACTACTTGTGTGGTCTTAACGTAGCAAGACTACATCACATCACCATACCACCTAAACACAGAGACAAAACGGTGTTGCAGCGCAGTACAATGTATTGCTGTGACTGTTGTCGAGTTTATTCCTCACATCTGTAGACAGAGTTCTGATATTGCGATAAAGAATCTAGTTTAGGGCATCGCTGCTATTTTTTCAGGCGTAACCTTTACGTTCATCTGTATATATCTTCAGATTCAGGAGGCATATTTTGGTTTATAGCTCATGCGGAAATGTCTCACTTCCATTCAAGAAGGTTGTAGTAGCTTCGAAACACTTAGTAGTCGAATAAAGGTCTAGGCGCACACTGCAGTTTCAACGATAATTTCACAAATCGCCATGGGACTGTTCAAGAGATCCATATATATACTTATATAAATGAGGTGAGAAATGGTGTTATCAGAACATGAAAACTTACATTCCCCTACAACAAAAAATGTAATGTATGACTGTTAAGTCATTGAATTCATTAATAATCATTACATCTCATAGTACGGTAAAAACTAGAAGCACCCACTTGCAATTCTTTCAATGGATGATCGCAATAATTTAGGTAAGAAATGTATAACTCATGCAAAGTCACTACACCGCATTTTTGGTTATAACCTCTGGATTCGGATTGCGTTGATAAAGATCCACTGAAAGTGAAACTAAAGGCCAGCTTTAGTCTGTAGTACAAAGTCCGATGCTTAAAGATCTTGTTTCAATTTTTACTTAGACGAATTGGCTCTAAGGGCACTTTTGCGCTTTCTTGTTGCGCTATCAATACGCACATACCTTGGGTCTGCAATAAAGCCATGTCCGTTAGATAAGATCAAGACCTATAAACTTGGATAATCTTTGGCTTTCAAATCACTTAAATATATACGATGCACCTAAGCATATTACCATAATAACCAAGACTTTATAATCTGATATATGAACTTGTGCACAGAGGTAAAATATAATTCCTTTTAATGTGCGTTAAGTCGTCAGCATTAAGAAGACACGTAGAATACAGAATTGTTAGGTACATAGGTAAACTGCGTTCACTAAGGATCGCTAAAATGCAGAATGTCACCGAAATAACCATTAAAATAGGAATACATAAAGGCCTCGAATTTCGCCTCGAATCATATAGATACATCCTGATATCTAGCAAGATGCTACGCAAAATAGATTATGTTGTCTTCAACCCTAACAATGATAATAAGACAGCTCCGAGTTCTCAGCACATGTGTCTATCAATCCAACGAGTAAAGTCAGTATGTGAAAAAAATGAAGTGAATATTAAACAAATAGGACCAAAATTGTTTATTAAGGCGAAAAAAGACTACACAAATATAATGCTTGTGAAACATATTAAGAAAACACGAAGAGAGCGGAAAGCAGACAAAAATCACAAAACCATTCTATGTATCGGTTTTGCATACAGGGTAAAAACATTATTAAATGTATCTACAGAAACAATTTAACATACTTGCACACTGTTCATTTTAAACAGAAATCAATCGATCAATATACACATACACTAATAATACATATATATATGTAATATTGAACACAATTCCGAGCAATAATTTTTCTCCTTCACGTTCCCCAATGGAACATAGGGCTTCAAGCTTGTGGATTGCAGTTTCTGTAGCATTGTTTATTTATGGGGTTGCTAGCCTCATACCTAACCTTTCCTCTTAGCAGCATTATTTCTGGCTTAGAGCGGTAAAGGAGTGCGTCAGTCGGGAATCGAACCCCGTACCATGTGCATGGTCGGTGAGCGTCCGAACCGCTATGCCACCGACGCCCCCGAGCGATAATAATCATGAGAAATGAAAACTTTTCAGTATCTCGCATTAGGATGAAAAATATCCAGTTACCAGAGCAAAGAAAGACTGATAACTGCTTCTTTCTGAACGCACAAATCAGGTTTCAGGCGCTTGATGGAAAAGGGCTTCAGTGAACTTAAGGAGCATTGAACTCTTTTGTTTATTGACAATTTTGAACGACTTTTCGACGTCCACCTCATGACCCGTGTCAAGAAGATGCCTGGCGATGGCACTGCTTAAAGCATTTGTTCCATTTAGATGTAAGCTTTTTGGTACATGTTCAGAAAATCGTAGATATGCCATTCTTTCTGTTCTCCCAATGTTACTGCTCCCGCAGATACATGTAAATTTGTATATTCAGATGGAGTTAACATGACAAGGATATCTATCGATTTTTGATTGCACCAGAGAGCAAGTTGTTCGAAAGACAGGAACGAGCTTAGCTGCAGGATAGGCTATGGCTAGTGATGTACTCAGCCTTCTGTTGATCATCGCTGCAATGTTTTCGCCTTTATAATCAAGCTCAAAGTAGATTGGCTTTTTTCTTTCTGTGATTTGCTTTTCATTTGCGACTGCAAATCTTCCATACTTGTTGATGAACCTTTGAAGGTACCCATTGCTCTTCAATGTCTTTTCAAGAAACTCAAATTCTTCCTCTAGTTTCTCTGTAGAGCATATTCTTCTCGCTCTATAGTACAGAGTCTTGACCAGTGCTCCTTTATAGCCATTTGGACAAAAGCTATTAAAATGTAAGTATTGTCCTTTCCATGTGGACTTAAGATAAATTGACTTGTAACCAAGAATTGTTACACAAGTGATTTAATGTAAACTTTAGCAGGATAAGAAATGACTGTCACACCGGAACTCACCTAAGCAAATGTACACAAAACGCACTCCAATAACCAGTGTCTATCAGTTAAAATTTTCACTTGATTACATCAGCTTCCTAGCAAGTCCTCAATGGTTGACACGACAGCCGGCATGCACTTACAATACGCTAGATAACACTAGTACTTATACAGCGCAAATCCATTATGCCCCCGTCTACCCGACGACTCTTAAACTCACCTTTCTTTACTGGCAAACACAGTTCATGATAACTGACAGACGTTTCACTTTTGAATTTGGAAACGTAAAATTGACAGAACATACAACCAATAAAGACTTAAAGTGCGTAATGCATCTTCGAACCTTATATAATAAACCACTTTTTGTAAGGGCTAAATACGCATTTTGATTTCTGGAGACGAACAGACAGCACATGAATTGTATTTAGAACTCGTTGAATAGTCAATCACAGAGACTAGTGCACTTGAGTCACCTAGAGCTGCGGATGACAATCATAAAGTGAATATTGAAACATTCCGAAAGCTGATTCTCTGAGGAAAATCGCAGTGAGGCCTTAGTCGCCACTGCTCCAGATCCCTTTTGAATAATTATACAAACACAGTCTTAAGCGTCAACCCATGTGATATTCCTAATAGATGAATAAATTTTACTGTACTATGTTATGACAGCATTATTTCACTCGAAAAAATAAACGCACCCCTTCGTTAAAATAGCGTTCAATTATATCATATGCCAAGCGGTAAATCTCCATATTTTGATGCTCTTGAAGAGATTCAATAAGATCTAATCCACCACACTCTTCAATTGCAGTTGTAACTTGATCCAAATTGTCACCGGCTGCTGCCAATATGTTTGAAATCCCATCTAAGACAACCTGAACAACTTGTACATCTCTCGTACTCAGCATTTTACAAAGTGGAGGGATAACGCGTTGATCGATGACGTACCTAACCTACAAAAAATTAGTACAATACAATTCGGACTGTAAAAAGCTTTCACATTTTCCACTTACACTGTAAAATCAATGCTGCTTCACAAGCAGTTAACGTGGTTTCAGTTTCACTCTTCAAAACCTGACTTCCTCAAAGCATAAAATATGCATTCCACGACATCGCGAATTGCCTGAACAAAGTGTGAAGTCAGTAAACTAATTATCAATAATGTATGTCTTATTACAGTCCTGATACGCCTACTTCTAATTCTTCCCAAAAATGCCTTGATTATGTAGGCGGTACAAGTGTTATTCATGTGACGACATCGCCCTACTTCTCCATTTATAATAGATGACACCGGATTGGTTTGGAAAAGATCCACTGATAGTCAAACCAAAACATATATTCAGTCCATGAAGACCTCGACTGTTGCTTTGAATCACGTGGAAGGATACAGACCTTCTAGCTGGGATACTCCACAGACCAGAAATCAATGGCTGCAGACTTTTGTAACATGGTTCAAGTTAATACAGATGGAGCAGTTCCACTCACTCTTTATGCACTTCCACATCCATCAAATTCTCACTTTTCCACATGCATTCATTCCTTCTCCCCTACGTATCCATTCACTTCAGTTCCGTGGACATTTCTAGCCTTACCCACTGTGTGTTATATGCAGTGTGGTGACCTGAACAACTGTTGCACATTTGTGCATAGTCCTACATTGAAAACCCAACGAGTCGGTTCAAGTCACTCACCAGTCGTCAATCAGCGGCTTTCCTCCAGCCCATCCATCTCCATCCACATCTGACAAGACTGACTACTCTGATGACATGTTTCCTACTGTCTTTCAGATTGTCACTTACAATGTTCGCACATTCCTGGAACTCTGACACCAAACAGGTTTGACCAGGTTCGGGTCGAGTCATCACTCGACTCAATTCCCATCATTGGTTGTTGAAGCACTGTTAGGCGACAGGGTTATATTAGAGTAGAGTAGAGAGGAGCTGGTCAGTGACGTGGTAATCGTCTGTCATCTCTGTTTGTGCACTGACAGTCCCCATTAAGGAAGAGATGTGATACCGACTGACTGACTGACCTCAACTCAAATAAACGCACTCGAATATATCTTGTCGTGCTAGATAAAGTTGCGAATTGCTGAATTTCAAATTGTTCGGTTAGCTGTGCATCTTTTAGTTAGTTTGTGCTGTGTGTTTGATGCTATTTATGTAATAGTTGTAGTAGTTGCAATAATTTTTGAAACTATATTCTAGAATCTTTCGTGAATAACATTTGTTTCTCCAAGTAATCCATATGCAGTCAGTTGGACGGTTTTTTAGATATTCTTCCACGGCAGCGTAACATCGCTCCCTCTAGCTAAGCAAATGTATTGCAGGAACTTCAAGGATCTAACTGAACTATAATTAGACGCTTAATGCGTTGACGTTAAGGAATAGGATGAAGTATAGTGACGCGATATCTAACACCTACAACTTCTGTAGTATTCTTTCCACGTATTCAAAAATGCAAAGCAAAACACCAGAATTGATCGTCCAAACAACGAGTTATATTTCGGGACCAAATCGGAGTGCGAGATGACTGCTTAGCTAATTAACATAACACGACAACGTGCCAAATGGCGTGGATGCTTGACCAGAAGCCTTCAGCTAAACAAGTTGACTTAAACAGTGTCGGATAGCACCCAGTGTTCAGTGATGAGTGCTCTGGCCAATAATTCCTGGGGAATTACCTACCGCTACATAAGTCAACTGTTACTGAAAACTTCCTGAAGTACTTCAAGCCAGTTAATTGACTAGATTAATTAAGAAATATGGGCAATTTGAAGTATACTTAGAGTATGCTATGTTGTCATCTTTATCTCCTATCTTTCAAGTGTATCTAATTAATGCAGCTATCAGGCTATTCATGTTATAATTTGCATCTGAAATACTACCGTCTGTAGTGCTCTGGTTGCTCAGTATGTCCTGCGAAATACTGGTTGGTAAATAGCGGTTGGTCAGTGCTCTGATCGAGTGACCACTCTTCGTCAGCTAAATGCATATTTTTGGAACTGCTGAAAACAGCAATCCTCATATATTAATATCAGGATAGGACTATTCTATGAAGTCATATCTTAGGAGTTAGTTGGCGAAAAGTAACAATGACGAAACTTTCTAAGATGTGTGATTAAAAACGCTGCAACTATGAACAATAGTTTGTGTTTAAGATGTCGTCCAGTAAATAAAGCTGTTTCATTGTGTGATGTATCATACAGTAAAAAACTGATGTTGAAGTACATACTACGGCAGTGCCCAAGTATTACACACATAAACATATCAAGTAAGACGGGGTTGTTTCAGTTTATCATTATCCTGAAATGTCTATACCGAACACCTCAGACAAAGTGGGATTATATATCGGTATGTGACCATTGTTAAGCTTTTCAGCATCCCCATTTACCTTCATGTTTTCTGTCCGTCGTATCCAGCTTCCAAGTATGCATACTAATGATTTAGTTGTGCTGTCAATACCATACTGACTGGCACTTCCAGATGAAGAACATATTACATTGACTGACAGCGTATTTGGACAGCATATTTAGTGAATCTGACAGGTCATAAAAATGATTTATGAGCGTCATTTGCAGAATTTCCTGCTGTCAGAAACTCAAATTCGAAATAATGAACGGCTGCCAGTCTCGGATATTGTGAGGTGATATAACAGCTAGATATGCAAGAATAAACGTCTGAGGTGTATCATTGCACTTACTGCCGATGATCCCATCACATAGGTGTCAGTCGTCGACTTTAATGGATCGTTCATGGGGCTAGCGATGTAACGACCTCACCACAATGATAGTGGATATTGGTTCCGACTATACTGATAAAATAATGTCTCAAAATAATGGGTGATATCTTTTATTTCTGACGAAGCTAAGTAGTCATTTTAAAGTCATACACATAGTGGATTATTAGACATTGAAGGTTGCAGGGGACTTGTTTTAACACTGCTCTAGGTTTCAGTTTTCAAATTTAGCATTGTACTATGAGTGACCAGGCGGCTGCCCGCATATTGTCTTTCAAAAATGCAGGGAAAAGCGCTGATGTAAGTAAGTTCAGTTTCCTTCTAACTTCTTGTCACAGGAAATGCGACGTCGCCGCCAAGAAGGCCAGGTGGAGCTGCGAAAGACTAAACGTGAAGAAACTCTTCAGCGGAAAAGGAACTTCCCAGCATCTGGTGACCCTGTGGATACAGAGGTCGAAGCAATGGGAAAGTCACCTCTGTTAAACTTGGAAGCCATTGTTGCGAATGCTTCGAGTGAGGATCCTGCAGTCAGGCTTCTTGTTGTACAATCTGCCCGCAAGCTTCTTTCAAGTGACCGGAATCCACCCATTGACGAGCTGATCAATGCTGGCATGCTCCCTAAATTGGTGTCATGTCTAACAAGTGATGAGTAAGTTGATATTCCACAGCCATAAATGTACTCTACATGTAGCTGACTATTCTTTTGTATATCTTGCCTTTAGTCTATGTTCAAGTTTGCCTTAACAATCATTTATTGTAATAATCGGTGTCTGTAAATTTCCATATTCGTAGTTTCATTATGTACCTTCCTAAGTCGAATATGAGATGATGATGCAGGACTGGGATGCATCGACTGGACTAGCGTCCCATGATTGCTGACGAAATCTCAGCACCCATAAAACTGCCACTTGCCAAACTACTCATCTGTCTCTTAGACTTCCCAGCCGACTGTCGATCAAAGAACGTGTGTACTGAGCAGCAGTTCTCTCATTCCTTTTTATGATTGTTGAACGTGAACATTGGAAGTGGAAGAGAGGTAGAGGTCGACTGCCTTTGGCCACAGGTGTTTGCATTCTAGTCCTCGTTTTGTGTTGATTAAAATGCTGAGTGGCACTGGGGGGTTTCGTGTGGAGAGTTAGATAAGGAGGGAAAATCAGTAAATGAAGCCGTGGATATGCATTGATTCAGACGACCAGGACATGTGTTACTCATATGAAGTCATCGCCCTACTTCTCCATTTATAATAGATGACACCGGATTGGTTTGGAAAAGATCCACTGATTGTCAAACCAAAACATATATTCAGTCCATGAAGACCTCGACTGTTGCTTTGAATCACGTAGAAGGATACAGACCTTCTAGTTGGGGTACGAGACAAAAAGTATATGCCTAACTGTGTAGAACATCGACATTCTGACAAAAGAAGTTGTAGCATGAGGACGTCTACATTGCAGACTTGAGTACACAATCCAATGCTTTGACCTCATTACTTTATACAGTAGTCTCAACTGCAATGCTGACGATATCGTAATAGAGAAGCTAAGCTAATGGATGTCAGAATGTTGGAGTCTAGTGGTCAGGTAATTTACCCCCCCCCCAACAGTTGACTGGAAAGTCCTTATAACGCCATATCCACAAAACTCCTTTGACTATAATCTGCTGGAATGCAGTATTTCACTAACCCTATGACATATCACGAAGCCCACGCATTATGAGCCACAGCAAGTCTCCATAACCGTAGATCTGGTTTTCTCCCATGACGAGGATGTGGACCTCGTATAACATCTTCATCCCTTAGGAAGAAGTAACCGCACTGTGCTCGCTTTCAAGTTGACAGAAGCAGTGTAATGGACCAAAACCCCAGCTCGACCAAACATTTGGAATGGTGATTTAAATGCCATCATTTCATAGGCTAAGCCTCTGAACTGGTACATAAGTGTAGGGACAATTTGAGCAACTTTACGCTCAGGAAACCAAATCTTTCATCGCTTAGTCTGTCCAAACGAGTCGAAAACATTGTTCCCATGGATTGACCGAGAGATTTATAAAGGAATTAGGCACGAACAAAAGTGCTGGAACCTGTCTACCACAGCTGAGACTTCTGAGACCAGATAATGAAAGGTAGATTGGCATTGCAAAACGAGTTCAGCAGGCTGTCGACCAAAGATGTCCCGAGATGTGAACGCGAACTAAGGTTTTGTTACTCTTCTGTCCA